TGTGACATTTTTCAAGTTTGGCAAATTTATGCATTGTGTTTAGATTATATAATATATAATCAAATTGTTTTTGTTGTTGAAGTAGGACGGATGAAATTATTTTGTGATTTATCCCACTCTTCATACTAATGTGCAAATTCTTTGTATCTTTCACAGATTCACGGCCACTTATTGATGCTTCAAAGTTTGATATGGACGAGACAGAGGCTGCCAATATGTTGGTTTCACTCGGCAACTCCAGGTCTGGAACACCTTGTTTTTCACCTGTACCAACACCAGGTCCGATGTCACCCAGATCTCACTCACAGTCTTCATCACCACATTTCAATTTCAGAGGACCCTCTGCTACATTCAGTCCTATATCAATTTACCCACAACCAACACAGCGAGGTGTTGTTATAACACCCACACGTCGATGGAGTACAAGTACGCCAAAATCTGGTCGTTCATCGACTGAGATGATTTCACCTAGCGGCAATCGCATTGTCTCAGGTACAACACCCACATTTCAAGCGCATTTGAACTTCACCTCCCCAATCAGCCCTACCAAACTGAAAACCAAAATGGAGAACTATAAGAACATGCCGAGAACAGAACTTAATAAGAGTAGTGATGGCAATGACTCTGGCGTGGATGTGACTGGTCAGACGCGAAGTCCGACACCGGCACTTACAGTGTCGCCAACATATTCTCGTCAACAACAAGTTATCTCTCCCCCTAACATAATATCACCAAGTATGGTTGCTAGGCAACATACATGGCAGTCTTCACAAATACAAACAGCGATTATTAGTAGCATTCATGAAACGCGGACTCAGGCGGGTTTTGTACCACCCCCTATAGCACCGCTGCAAAGAAACTCACAAGAATCGTCACCACCAGAGAGAAATCGAAATACAGTGAGAACTGAAAGACCTGCAGTCCCACCTGTTAGGCCAGCACCACAATCTGTTGAGTCCACAGAGAGGAAAGAAACAACAGACTCACAAACACAGACCACTCAGGACAGTGAAGATCAACCACCTCAGCACTCTGAGTTAGCTAATCAGAGTGTTGGACAGCCACAGCAATCTGAACAACAAAATCATAGCCAGGGGACCCTGTTACAACAATCTGGACCAGCCCACCCAACTCCATCTGCTTTGTTACCAGTTATTGCTACAGGACAAAGTGAAGATGAAGGAAAACCAGGAAAACCTGACTCAGGTATTTTGTGTATTATGTTATTTATTACGTCATACTTGTAAAATAATGATTTCCACAATAAAAATTATTTATTTATTATTTCAACCATTTTTAATAATTGCAATTTTAAAACTGTTGAATTGAAACAAAAATAATGAACTCAAATTTGGTAAAAGTCACTTTGTTTTTCACTGCTACATAATTAGCCCGAATCATATTTTTGGGCATCACATTGCACCTTGGTTAAACATGATGATATGTTTTTATAAGGCTTCCCTGAATATAGTGAATTCATTTGATCACAAACATACAATTTTATTTAAAATTTGGCACTGTTGTCAAATATAGTGTGACTTTCTTTATGCAACTAAGTGGTCTTATTTTCATATTATCGAAAGCGTACATGTAACATAGACAATGGTTCTAAGAATGTTGCAAGGGATATTGATAAGGAGATGAGCATTTTTCCCCTGATCAGTTCATTTTGACTCCCTTTGTAATTTTTTTACTAAAAATATTATAATACACTAATTGTGTGGTGTTGCATATACTGGAAATGTGCACATCTGTAAATAAAATAAGTTGACAGCCAGCAGGGATTTTTGAAAACAATTTGCAGCAATACCAGATTGGTTATTGACTCCTTGATATTTTTCTGTAGCTTGGACTCAGCTGTCTGCTAATGCATTACAAGTATTTCCATGGCATACCTTAGTACCAATTCTGACACCTGGACAACCACCGACCAATAATCTACCAGTGTCTGTACAGCAACCAACTGTCAATCACCAAACATTACCCAATCAGAGCCAAGGTAAGTCGAAATCAGATGGTCATTTACAGCCAATCAGAAGCTGTGTGTGTAGACGACCTAAAAGTATACCTCTTGATATCACAAATAATACCGTATT